TTAGTTTAGCCCCTGTTTTTTATTTTAGTCCTTCTTAGAAATACAAGCTTGTGTGTGTTTTTGTGTGTGCATGTGTGTGTGTGTGTGTTGACAACATTAACATAACATATTATAACATGATGTGTGACACAAAAATCTGAATTATGGAGCTGAAAGTGAAAGTAGTCAAACTGAATTTTTAATAAACCAAAATACAGTTTCAAAACAAATTAATTCAGATACAAAACTTTAAATTCAGTTTCAGTTTAGTGATATTTTCAAAACAATGCATTCAGTTTTAAATTCTGCACATTCAGRTTCAATCTGAGCAAATTCAATTCCTGCTGGCACAAGATTTGTCCCATAAAAATGTGTCATTTTATAAATGACAACAGGAAACAACATCATTTTAATCAGTGTGTTGTGTTTGTGCTCATTAGTTAATAAAGTTTGAATATTTGAAATAAATGTGAAGCGTGTTTTCGTACGTCTTTGTCGCACAGCGTCTCCAGGAGAAGCAGCAGGATGGTTTTGAAGTGCTCGTCCCACACCGCCGCGTTGTCCTCCCGGGTGATCTTCAGCAGCTCCACCAGGGCGCCCTTACGCTCCTCGGAGCGCTCGTTGTGATTGGACAGCTCCTTCAGGACGTCGGCCACCAGGTCCGAGTGGTCCGGACCGACTGTCGGGGGTCAGACGGAACCGTTTACTCATCAGGATATCACTAAATAAAAGTTGTTTCTACAGTCAGTTCATAAAACCAGACTTTTCTAAAATCAACTTCAACTGTAGTTAAAGGAAAGGGTTAAATTTAAGATGCTAAAATCTGGAGCTGAAAGTTTAACTCCAGCTGTTAGTGAAGATGAAGGAGGAGGAAGAGGAGGAGACACAAACAGGTGAACACAGCAGGCGGCATCTTTACCAGGAGCAAAGCCTTTCAGTGGAGCCATCTTGTTTTCACCGCTTTCCTGCCGTCGGGCTGCAGAGGAGGAGGAGGAGGAGGAGGAGGAGGAGGAGGAGGAGGAGGAGGAGGAGGAGGAGGAGGAGGAGGAGGAGGAGGAGGAGGAGGAGAAGGAGGAGGAGGAGGAGGGGATGAAGGTGGAGGATGGAGGGCGGGGCCACAGGGTGAGGAGAGCAGAATGTGATGACAACAAACATGAGGTGAAGTTCTGTAAAAATCCACAGAGCTACTGGAACCACTTAAACAAATGAAACCAGGTCACGTCACATGACTGTGGGCGGAGTCAAATGATTACATCATTTAAAACCTTTCATCTTCTTTAGACCAACGCTCAGACCGTTTAACCACATTTATGACAATATTTTCATGTGTGAGCACTAATATTTACAGCAAAATAAAAATATGAATGCCACCCTCGACTACTCTGACCCTCAGACTGTGGACCCCCAGCAGAACCTTTGACCCACCTTCAGTTCTACTCACAGTCTCTGAACTCTTGTGGACCCTCAGTCTCTGAACTCTTGTGGACCCTCAGTCTCTGAACTCTTGTGGACCCTCAGTCTCTGAACTCTTGTGGACCCTCAGTCTCTGAACTCTTGTGGACCC